TGGGAGTCCAGCGACATAGCCATTACGCTAACTGCTGGTTCCCAGTTTCTTGAAATTTTGAAAGTTGTTTGTTAACTATCAAGAACTATGGAGTATGAGCAAAAATGCTTTGATATTTAAAGTAAGTTTGTGGGAAAATGTGAAAGTAAATAAATGGTAAAAGAATTAATGTAGTTAAAATTTTTGAACAATATCCCAGGTATTTATGTATATGTTTAAAATTTGTATTTACATTCTATCATAATATGATCTTATAATATTTTTAAAATTTTTATTTACATTCTGCATAATATTTTTTATAGATGTTGTAAACATATGTAAAAATATAACCAGATTCTATGTAGACCAATACATAAATAGGAGACCTGGTATTTTCTTTCCACAGACAGTCTTGCTGTCTTGCACCTTAAAGTGTATTCATTTCACTTTGGGTCCTTACCTTTAGACAATATCACTGTTTGATCTTGATTTACTAAAAAGCAGTTGGAAGAAAAGAACTTCTTTTAGACTTGAGAAGTTGAAAACTTCCTCCTATCTGGATTTCTGTATAGGATGTGTTTTGACCTTAAACAATTCTTTACAAAGAATTGTACAAACTGTAACCAGCTTGAGATGATTTAGTTAAAATACCTAATTCATGGGGAACCAGCAGTTAGTGTAATGGCTATGTCGCTGGACTCCCACGTAGTCGACCGCGGTTCACGTCCCAGACCCGGTGGCTTAAATCTCACGCCGGGCGCGTGTGCGTGCGTGCTCAAGATCCCGAGAGGAGAATGGAGGAGAAGGGATTGCGGCGTGACCATCCCCCCTGGGGGGTGATTTCTCGCTTTCTGTCTCTATGTCTCTGTCTGTCTGGCGAGCGCACACGCCCTATAGAGAAAACCTCTCCAAAAAAAAAAAAACCTAATTCATCAGCAGATTTTTCAAATGATCCTGGAGTTTACTTCTGTCACCTGCAATGTCACAAAGGCAAAAAATAGGAAGGAGAACAACCGCATTTCAATTTTTATTTGTTAACGTTGGGTCACTTTTTACATGACAGGTCATTCCTATGGCTTTCTGTAAATCCATGAATGAAGAACAAAAGTGAACATCTCATAGGTATGTACAAAATCCTTTTACACACAATAGGAGGAGTGGGAAATATCTTCTATCCTCTTTTTTTTTCCTATAGTTTCTTGGGGGGGGTTAGGGTGAGAGGGAGTGGCAGTTGGCAGTTAGAAGGCAAACTAAAAAGTTGACCCTAGGTTACAAAGAGTAAAATTTAAGTGACAGTCACAGGAGGTTTTCCCAGAAGACACTGTTCTCTGGAAGATTATTTCTGCTAGTTATAAGGCTAAAATTACTGGCACAAACTTGGTGATTGGCTAGTATAAAATAAAACAACATTGTCCAGTTGAACCACCATCTAAGTCTTCAAGTTGGTCAAAGGAATGCTTCCCACAGTTCCACTGTAATCCCACTCATAAATTAAACTCTCCAGGTATGTAAAAAAGCCAGTTCAGTCCAGTCATCACGTTCACAGTGTGTGGGTCCCTTTCTCAGAGGGACAGAAGGCTCCTAGATCAGCCGCTCCATCGCAGGGGGTGTCATTGTGCTCCACATCTCCACTCGGGAGCCCTCCTTTTCCTGGCGGCTGGGGCTGTAGGTTCCCTGAGTCGCCCTTTTGTTGGAGGTGACAACAGAAGCAATGACAGCCAGCAAGAGGATCAATAACAGGGCTAAAGTCACTGAGCCAATGGCGGTGAAAATGTCTGAGATCAAGTCGTCAGCCAGCTGCAAGGAGTGAAATAAATGCTATGTGAATTCTAGAGCAAAGGAAAATATTCAGAACAACGGAACTGCCTTGGAATGAAAACCAATGACAACGAGCTACTTCGCTCAGAACTATGAAAAGACCAAGGCATTGGAGGAAAGTCAGGTTTCCTTAATCCAGATGATGAGAAAGCCATCCTATATCTAGCATCTAAGGTCAATAGAAAGTGTAGCATGAAATGCCTGTGATATTTACTCAATGTCTTAGTGACTGAGATCATGCCTGTGACATCAAAGGCAAAAGGTGAACTCACACGTACATGTGTAAAACAGTTCCAAACCTATAGGCATGTGTTCACAGTCTTTTCTGCCCCTTGCCAAAGGTTCCGATTATGGGTTAAAGAAATAGTTGTCTTACAGACATTTTTGGGAGAAAAGGAAGCAACTTAAATTGGTAGGTTGTCATGGGAAGGATCCTGAGAGAGAGGGACAGGGAGGTCCTGGTCTGGCAGACACTGGCCACCGTCATCACTTTGATTGGGATTTGATGTAACAATTGGATGTTTGGTTGTAAAAGCACCTGAGCTTAATGCTGAGCTCAGACCTATAGCCTCGGAAAGCCAGGGGTGGAGCCCTGGCAGGAGGAGCTGAATCTGGCTGGGGCTCTCGACTCTGAATCTGAGATGTCACTCGTACTTAATGGTTTCTTTAATGTTGATTCCAATGTGTTTGCAAAGCACTTTGGGAAGCAATTTAGTCACAGATAACATGAAATCATGATCGAGTTGCATAGAAATATGAAAGACAGAAAAGCAGACATGATTTAAATTTTTTAACTGATGTTTTTCCCCCAAATATTTCTTTCTCTGGTGACAGCAGGCCCAAATGATTCTACCTTCTCATTTCCTTTTCTCTATGACTAAGTCCCACGTTACTAAACCAATCTACTATTACAAATGGAAGTTTGTCTTATCAACCTAGGCAATTTAAACATCTTCGCTATCCTTAGTCTTTTCTGTAGCCTGTGCCTTGGTTTAAATCTTTATATTATTCCTGTAATACTACAATGTCTTCATAATGTGCTCTTGGGTCTCCTCATTATGAGCCTTGCGTACACATGGTTCATTTGCTTGTTCTTTCATTTGACAACACTTATTGGCTATTTATTATAGACATTTACTAACCCTTCAGGAAGCAAAACTACAAAATTAAACCAAAGTTTGGAATCTAAAGCTAAGATTTTGAGAACAGGAGAAGAGTAGGAGACATATACACACAGGCACAAACACAGATAATCCTGACACATATTTGCATGTGTTATGATGGTGTCTTAATGTAATTTTGTGGGGTATAAGAGCACAATTGGAAGGAGACATGTGATCGTTCTTTGAAGGCTGAGTGAATGTTCAAGTACTCCAAGCAGGAAATTCTGTTTAGATGAAATAATTAGAAAGTTTTAAAGGCAAAGGTAGTCCAGCCGGTGGAATAATGGTTAAAGGGATAGATCCCATGTGGCTGACACTACCTGGGATCTAGCAGCTTGAGAAACACTGTGTGTGTGTGTATGTGTGTGTGTGTGTCCAAAATCCTGAAAAGGAAAGAGGAAAGAGAATGTAGGAGAAGAGATTGTGGCATGGTCATCCCCTGTGGGAGTTGCTTTCATACTTTCTCTCTCTCTTTCTCTTGTGGGTGAGTACATGCCCTCTGCAAAATTAAAAAAAAAAATAGTAAAAAAATAAAAATAAAAAAGTTCTTAGAACTTTAGGACATCTTAAGAAACCCAACGTGACCAAAGGTCTTGTCCATGAATGTATATATTTGAATTAAGAGAGGATTAAAATAGTTGGTGAGAGATAAAACTATAAAGGAGATGAATCTTGTCAAGTAATTTGAATGTCACACTAAAATACAGATTTTGTCCCATAGTCAGAGTAGCCACAGAAGGTGCTGAAGCAAGAACACAATGATCAGATCTGGAGACAGGGTGGAGGATGGGAAAGAGCGAAGGTAGGGAAGAAACTGGAGGTGGAGAAATTAGCAGTTCAATTTATTAGGCATAATAAGAAATTAACTAGATCTAAGTTTAGTAAAAGAATGAACATTAAAAGAAAAACATGGTTGAAAGAAATTTCTCAGTAGTCAACATCATTCCGTTGTCAGATGGGTGGGATCAGAGAGAGCAGAAGAAAAAGATGGCTGACGATTCCACATTAGGTGACCAGTAAATTGTGATTCCTCTCATAGAAATTGGCTACATAGGTGGAGAAATAGGCTTAGGTGGGAAGACCACAATTTCAGTTTGGGAAAAGCTAGTTTCAGGTGTTAAGAAAACATTCAGGGATGTGGTATTGTTAGGTACTTAGAAATAATCACTACCCCTCTCTAATTCCCCATTACCATGAACAATTCTGAGTGATGTCAACATTACCTTCTCCAGTTATTAGACTTTTAGGAGTAAAACAAATAAGAGTTTCATAGAATTCAGTAGTTTTTGTGAAGAATAGTTTAACTCAACTAGAGCACACATTTTCCTTCTAATACTGTGGACATGCAAAACCATGAGTAATTTCTTCTTTTTTATCAATAAAGAACTCTGGGCTGCGAAAAGTCAACAAAGCCCTAGACATGGTCTTGAAAGGTCAAAAGTCTGGGACATAGAAGGGCAGATGGCCCCTGAGCAGCAAAACCCTTTGGTCCTCTTAATAGGAACCTTTAGATACCATACACTGTTGTAACTAGATATTGATTTAATCTGATTCTGTCCAGTAAACCGGGTCATTTTCAGGAGTAAATGGCTGCTCTAGATGAGAGTCCACACTCATGCAGACCACAGAGCAGTCACCAGTTCACCTGTTTTCTGAGCCCTTCTCTTATTATTCAGCTTGAGTCTGATGACCCTGGGAAGCTACGGCCTCCTAAACCCTGTCATCTGTGTAGTGGAAAGGCAAAGGGACTCACTGGGCAGGTCATGAGTCCTTGTTAGTACCACGATTCTGGTAGAGCCAAAGGGTTGACGAAACTTGTGACCTGAGAGGAACCAAGACATGGTCAGCAGTTCTTTTGCAGGCCTCAGAAATATGATAAGAATGAAGGGACCAGCAGTTAGCGTAATGGCTATGTCACTGGACTCCCATGTAGCCGACTGTGGTTCAAGTCTCAGACCCAGTGGCTTAAACTCACACCAGGAGCATATGCGTGCGTGCCCAAGATCCCGAGAGGAGAATGGAGGAGAAGGGATTGCGATGTGGCCATCCCCTCTGGAGGGTGATTTCTCGCTTTCTATCTCTCTGTCTCTCTGTCCCTCTCTGTCTCTCTCTGTCTTTCTGGCAAGCACACGCGCCCTATAGTGAAAATCTCTCCAAAAAAAAAAAAAAAAAAGAAGAAAGGAGCAGATTCAGAACCTAAGATAGAACAAAATAGACTACAGCAGCACTGTGCATGAGAAATATAATGTGAACCATAAGGGGAAGCCACATATATAACTATAAATTAGCTACACTGAAAAAGAAACTCATGAATATCAATAACGTCTTGCTTCACACAAAGTATAAAAATTATTCAACATGAAATTAATATAATAAATAATGGAGATACTTTCTCTTTTTTTAAAATTGTCTTTGAAATCTGGTGTGCTCTTCACACGTACAATACATCTCAATTTGGTTAGCCACATTTCGAGTGTTTAACAGCCACATAAGCTAGTAGTTACCAGATGGGACAGTGCGGAGCCAGAGAGATGGACTGAGGAGGCATTATTAGCAGCATTGCCATTTGCTGACTTAGTCAATGTGGAGAATGAGGAGGTAGAAATTCCTGTGATTGCTTGATTGCTGGCTTGGATAAGTAGATGAAGGGTGATGCCACAAACAAACAAACAAACAAACAAACAAACAAAAAAAAGGATATAGAAAGAAGAACAGGTCTGGGACCAGCAGTTAGCGTAATGGCTATGTTGCTGGACTCCCACGTAGTCGACCGCAGTTCGAGTCCCGGACCCGGTGGCTTAAAACTCACGCCGGGCGTGTGTGCGTGCCCAAGATCCCGAGAGGAGACTGGAGGAGAAGGGATTGCGATGTGGCCATCCCCTCTGGAGGGTGATTTCTCGCTTTCTATCTCTCTGTCTCTCTGTCCCTCTCTGTCTCTCTCTGTCTTTCTGGCAAGCACACGCGCCCTATAGTGAAAATCTCTCCAAAAAAAACAAAAAAAAGAATGAAGGAGCAGATTCAAAGCCTGGAGTCCAACCCCATCTCTTTCAGTCCTGCCGTGTAAGGAATTAGTTAAAAGCTCACCCTGTAGAGGCAGAGGACTGGACTCAGTTCATGTCTCAGCCACTCCTGTGAACATTAGGAAGGTGGTTAACGTCTTAGAGACTCATTTTCATCGCCTGTAAAATTGTGCATTGGGACCAGCAGATGGTGTAATGGCTATGTTGGTGGATTTCCACGTAGTCAACTATGGTTCAAGTCCTGGACCCAGCAGCTTAAAACTCATGCTGGGTGTGTGCGTGCCTAAAATCCCAAGAGGAGAATGGAGGAGAAGGGATTGTGGCATGGCCATCCCCCCTGGTGATTTCTTTCTTTCTTTCTCTCTTGTCTCTCCAGTGAGCATACATGCCCTATAGCAAAAATCTCTAAAAAAAAAAAAAAATTGAATATTAATATCTGCCTTAAAGGATGAGACTGAATGAAACACAATGAATGCAAACTATACAAAACACAACCTTTATAGAAAGTTCTCAGTACACAAAAAACATTAGTAGTCATTCATATACCATTTATCACTATTCCTAATTCTCTTTTCGTACACAAAATAAAGTACAACTCCTTCAGGACCTTGCAGTGTGACCACAGGAGCCATCTACAAGCTGAATATTGCAATGCAAAGCCTCATGTAAAGTTGTGATGAAGCAGTTCCGCTAACTGTATCAAACAGGACATGTCATTAAGCTTTGGAGGGAAGCTGAATGAGCAGGGCTTTGAAATTGCCTCTTGAGGGCCCTTTGCTTTTGACTTCCCATGGTTGAAAGGTTTTTCTTTTTTTTGCTCTGCTATTCTTCAACTGTGCTTAAAATATATAGCACTGAAAAAAATATATATATACAGCACTGGAATGAAGTGGACCTTCTGATAGTTGAAACTGCTGGGCACATAAGCTGGTGATGGAGGCCTCCAAAGGCAGATATTTAAGCAGAGCTGTTTGGATGGGCTGTGCTTTGGAAAAACCTTTTTCCTGAAAAAAATATACTCCCAATTTATTACAAAAGCATGTAAAATTATTTTTTCTAAAACTGACATACCATCATCTGTATTCAGATATTAGGTAAGCATCTTTGTTTATAAGTTGATTTCATGAGTGAGAGAGACGCAGAGAGAGGGAGATTGACAAGCAGAGATATAGTGCCCTGGGTAGGATCCGGCTGCCATGATCCACCCCCAGATCAGCCTGCCCAGATCATGGGGCAATGCAGACCCAGGATGTTCCTCCGAGTATGACCCAGCAATCTTCCCATCATGTGGTTTGCCTTGTAGACAGTTGTGTTCTATTACTGTGCCATTGCCTGGGCCCAATTATTTTTATTTATTTATTTATTTTTCATATCATAGGCACAGAGAAAGGGAAAGTGAGAAATCCCCCTCCAGGGAGGATGGCTGCATTGCAAATCCTCCTGCATTCTCTTCCTGGGATTTGGGGTAATCATACACATGTGCCTGGCCTGATTTTTAATAATATGCCAGGTCTAGTCCTTGAACTGCAGTAGTACATGTGGGAATCCAGCACCTTAATACTGCACCACCTGCTGCCCCACCAACATCCGTTTTAAATATACATTTTACGTGTGATTTTTTTTTTTTGAAAAAAATTGCCAGAGGGTGTGTGAGCTCACCAGAGTCGGGGGAAAGAGCAAGAGGAGAGAAAGTATCTGCAATGGTAAGTGGCCATGCCACAGTCCCGCATTTTCCATTTCTCCATTGGGAATCCAGCACCTTAATACTGCCCCACCTGCTGCCCCACCAACATCCGTTTTAAATATACATTTTACGTGTGATTTTTTTTTTTTGAAAAAAATTGCCAGAGGGTGTGTGAGCTCACCAGAGTCGGGGGAAAGAGCAAGAGGAGAGAAAGTATCTGCAATGGTAAGTGGCCATGCCACAGTCCCGCATTTTCCATTTCTCCATCCTGTCGAACTTGGGGCACACATACATGTGTGCCCAGTGTCTTCCTCCAGCCATCGAGCCTGAGACCTGAACCGTGCGGGGTCATGTGGGAGCTGGCTCCCATAACCACTGGTCTGCCAGGCCAGCCCTTTGTGATGAATTTAAACTGAGATTACTTTTGACTCCATATCTGCGGAATAAATCAGCAGGTATTTTATTGTCTTCCAAGAAAGGATTCCCTGTGAAACAATACCTGGGTGTGGCCTTTTTAGGACCTACAGCAATTCGAGGTAGAATTGTCAAAACTTATATTGAATCTTCTCATCTGACCACTGTAGGCTGGAATGTGCTGGGACCATACGTTAGTGCTTTTCATTTAAAATCCCCCCAAATTTCATACTGTTTCTTCCACAGGGAGACTGAAAATAGCATGTACTTAATACAGAAAGACCTTGGCTTGCTTCCCTTTTCCCCACTTCTTTAGTTTACCAAGCATAGACGTATTGCTTCCCTCTTCCACAGGGAGACTGAAAATAGCATGTACTTAATACAGAAAGACCTTGGCTTGCTTCCCTTTTCCCCCCACTTCTTTAGTTTACCAAGCATAGACATGTTGCTTCCCCACCTGTAGGGGGCAGTGAGTCGTGCATCTCAGAGCTGGGCTGAGAAGGGCAGGCTGCAGGAGCATACGGAGCTCTCTTGGCCGTCGGCACAGATGGGAACCCGGTCCACGTTGCTGCTCTTTTTTGTGAGTTTCCAGGGTGGCCATTGCCTGGTTCTGCCTGGATTTCAGAACTCCTCCCATACCTCTCAGCCCCCTCAACCCACTCTTGTGAAATGTCATCACTCCGAGCAGAGCTTGGGGCCCATGAGGGGCATTCCTCTGTCACCTTCCCAAGGTTGACGGGGAGCTCTGGGAGGACACAGGCCCACTGGAATCAACTCTTCCCTCCCTAATGGAAAGCTGGTCGGTTTGTCTAAGTTTGAAAGCACAGAATGAGCGAATGTGTCTGGAAAGAAAAAGAAATGAGATCGTATCTGTCCTTGGCATCAGGGTCTGCCTGTCATGAGACTGAGGGCCAACGATGGAATTCAGGAGGACAAGGAAAACGACAGGCGCACTGCTAGGAGCCCCGCCCCCAAAGAGGGAACATCCAAGAGCTGGTGGAAAACCCGACTGGCCTCACGATCCCAGGGAGTGGAGGCAAAAATGTCAGTGCTTTGACTTAAGGTGGGGAATTCAGGAGCCAGAGCTTCCGCCATCAGCCTTTACGCCTTTTCTCTCATAGAAGGGTTTTTATAAAATCAGCGGATGTATGTTTGTGGTTGAAAAGTGGCACTATTTGGGGTTAAACATTGGCTCCTGGAGAACACTAAGGTGGGATGAATTACTTTGAGTCCTTATCAGAATTCAGTTCTATTATTTATGTAGAAAAAACATGGAGGGGGACCAGCAGTTGGCATAATGGCTATGTCGCTGGACTCCCATGTAGTCGACCACAGTTCAAGTCCCAGACCCGGTGGCTTAAACTCACGCCGGGCACGTGTGTGCGTGCCCAAGATCCTGAGAGGAGAATGGAGGAGAAGGGATTGCGGTGTGACCATCCCCCCTGGGGGGTGATTTCTAGCTTTCTGTCTCTCTGTCTCCCTCTGTCTTTCTGGCGAGCGCATGCGCCCTATAGTAAAAATCTCCCCAAAAAAGAGAAAAACAGAAAATGTTTGCCTGTGCCATTTGCTTGCAGGTTACATTCCAGCTTCAACACGGGAGTTTCTGAAATGTGCATTTAGTGTTAACATGCGTTACCATACTATCATGAGAATTAGTGATTAATGGAAACATTACTTTAAATGTGTTTTTACAACTCTGGTCAGAATATTTATTTCTGTCTGCATAGCTAAGGCAAAATAAAACATCTCTATAATTGTCATCTCCCAAATTAAAAAAAGAAAAGTGGGAGAGAGGAGGAATACTCATTCCATATTTAAGACTTCTGATTACAGTTCTTATGAATTACTACTGTAACAAGTAGATCCTCGGTTTGGTGGACGGCAGAAACCTCCCACACAGACCTGGTCCTTGAACCGCATCTTATCAGGAAATTGCTAGAAACAGCCGTTTCCATAGTAATACTGACTATGTGCCAGAACTCTGTTTTTAAAATTAATATTGCTACAGCAGCCCATTGTCAACCATAAATGTTCTGCCCACTCTACACTTACGAAGGGGAAATAAAGTCTTGAAAAGCTAAGAGAAGGCTCGGGCAGTGTCCTCGCACAACCGAGGGGGATTCAGCCGCATAGATGCTTGGTTTACTGATTAAAAGGCCCAGGGACTTGCAGAGATGCTGGCTGAGAGCCCTGCGGGAGGCAGGGAGAGCCAGCAGCTCTGCAGGCTGAGTATCATCTACTCCTGGTGCTGCCCTATCTCTTCACCTGGTGCTCCGCTTTTCCAGAAAGACACAAGCTCGGGACCAGTAGATGGCATAATGCTTACATTGCTGGAGTCCCATGTAGTCAACCATGGTTCGAATCCCAGACCCAGCCATTTATCACAGCAGGTGTATATGTGTGTGCCCAAGATCCTGAGAGAATAGAGGAGAAGGGATTGCAGCATAGCCATCCTCCCTGGGGGTGATTTCTGGCTTTCTGTCTATTTCTCTCTCTCTCTCTCTCTCTCTCTCTCTCTCTAGTGAATGTACACACCCTATAGCAAAAATATCTCTTAAAAATAAAAAAAGTGGTCTTTTATTTTGGTGTGTGTGTTGGGGGGAGGGTTGCCATAGGGCACATTTGCTCACAGAAGAGAAATAGTGATATGGAAAGTGAGAAATAACATGAGATGGCCACGCTGCAGTCCCTTCTCCTCCATTCTCCTCTCGGGATTTCCGGCATGCACATGCACACACCCAGCATATATTTTAAGCCACCTATCTGGGACTTGAACTATGGTTGGCCATGTGGGAATTCAGCTCCTTAACCACCATGCCACCTGCTAGCTCAAGGCTTGTGCTCTCGATGGCACTGTAGCGATGTGGAGACCCAGACAGTGTTGACTTCCGGCCCCTCCATGGGTGTGTGAGGCTGTTTGAACCCCTTGCTGGAAAAACGAAGAATCCATCAAGTCTTTGCCCATATTCTCACATTCTTAACAATTCCTTGCAGCTAGGCTGATTGGGAGTTGACACGATAGCCTGAGCCTAGAGGGGCAATTCAGGGAAGATTCCCACACCAACCCCTGCTGGAGAGGCTGTAATAGCTTCTGTGGAAATTTCCTGTGCAGAGGCTGGAGGCAAATGAGAAAAAGGAAGTTTTCCTGAGATGTGAGGCATGCCCTGCCATTGGTCATCAAGGGACATGTTTATCCCTGTAGTCACAAATACTTACTGACCACACACTCAGTGCGAGCACGCTGCTACTGGCAATACAGACTCTGCCCTGCTGGCCTGGGCACCAGGTTGACAATTCTCGGCCTGATGTTTCACGACCTCCTTCCTACCTAGGCCATCAGATTGACGCAGAAGCGTTAGACGCACATACAGATTTGAAGCCTGTTTTCATACAGGTGGTGCAACTGAAACTGTTTTCACTTGAACATGAGGCCTCATGGATAAACCTTTTCTCTTTCTTTGTCTCCTGCAAGAACCAAATTCCAGCAGCCTGAACTCAGATTTCATTGCGTTTTGTACATTTACTGTTTCAAGATAATAGTTCATCATTTCTCCTGCCCCCATCAGTGGCCTATGAGATGCTTTATACACAGAAACCACTTTCATTCTTCTAATAACCCAGCTAGGTAGGTATTATTATTTTGTCACCTTCCCTGCCCATCCTCTTTAACTGCAATCAGCTCTGACTCACACACACAGCCCTGGCTGATGTCTCTCTGGTTCTGTCTCCCTGCAGCAGTAGGATTCCACTGGGACACAGATGTCTGTCTTCCTTGGTTCTGGCTGTCTCTCTAGTACCCAGAACCATATCTGTCCCAAAGAGACACTGAGATTTGGAGGTGAGTTAGTTCAAGGGCTCGCCCAGCAGCAAGGGAGATAGGTACCCACTTTACCGGCATGGGGCTCCTCCCCGTTGGGAGTGTCCCTAATAAGAACCTCAGCACGTGTGTGACAGAGGAACTCTGGATGCCCATGGAGGGCGGTGCCATCTCAGAGGTGCTGCAGGTAAACACTGATGTGGTTAGCCAGGAGCCAGGGGGCCTGACGGCACTTGGAGCTGGTGCTATTGGAGGAACTAACCCCAAACTATATGCTTTTACCTTTCCCTGCCCTCATGTCATCGGCTGACACAAGCAGGAGTTGCTAGTGATGATTAAAAGCAGACAAACCCCAGGGCCAGCAGGTGGGGTGGTGGTTAAGGCACTGGACTCCCACACGGCTGGCCGTGGCTTGAGTCCTGGACCTGGTGGCTTGCTTTCTCACTTTCCTTCCCTCTCTGTTCCTGTCTCTCTCTGATCAAATTAAAAAATAAACAATAATGGGATCAGCAGATGGCATACTGGTTACATTGCTGGACTCCCACATGGCTCACCATGGTTTGAGTTCCAGACCTCATGGCTTAAACTCACACTGGGCGCTTGTGAATGCATGCCCAAAATTCCAAGAGCAGCATGAAGGTGAAAAGATTGTGGTGTGGCCATCCCTGCTGGGGGGCTGATTTCTTGCTTTTTATCTCTGTCTTTCTGTCTCTCTGGCAACCACATGCTCCCTATAACAAAAATTTCCAATAAATAAATAAACAGCTCTGTCTTTTAAAATTAAATAAA